AAGTAGCAATGTTTATTCAACAGAAAGCAGAACAACATTGCTCATGTGTGCCATTAATAAATTCTACCTTAGAGTAGAATTTCAATTCCTTACTATTTTTAATTTCTAATGGACCTAACCTCGAATTTCACGCGTGCGTATGTCCGAACGACGCTGAAGGGACGAACGGCAAGGGTGGCCAACGGGGCCCGTTAATTACATCGAAAGGGAAAGCAAAGTGGCTTTGTGACGGATCGAGAGTCCCGATCGGGACAGTTCAAACAGCCTTCGAAACTTCTTTCATAAGAAAATCTCGAGGCAACGATATTTAGCTCGGCGCAGTTCGGAACTGGCCGTAAAGACGACCGCTGCATTAGACGCCCCGATGAAATTGTGCCCGGCTGATATTAATTTCCTCCGGAGTTCCGGTGCAATTTTATCGGTCCTTAAGACGGTAGCGCAACGATTTCATAATCCCCGGCCCGATTCCGATGAAACAACGCCACGTAACAAAACGAATCTCGGCGGGCGGTGGCCGGGCGGCCGGGAGGGACGCTGCCTTTTACGCTGCAGCAATACGAGAAAGAGTTCGTTGGTCGAGGAAATATTTAAATTCGATCCGACACAGACTTAACAATATGAAAGTAAGAAATTTGTCTGTAAAATTTTATAGTCGTTCCCTTTAAATAGGCACACTCGTCCGAGGGAATAGTTGATAAATTTTTTTAGAAAAAATTCTAAAAGATCACATTTTGAAATTGTGTAAGTCATGCTCACTATGCAGCTCAGAATCTTCTGAAGAAAAATTACTATACGTTGTGCACTATACATACTTTTATATGACGTACTCGTTTGAAAGAGAAGTTGGTTAATTTTTCAGAAAAAATTCCTAAGTATCGCATTTCTCGCTGATTGCTAAAACAGGGTTCGTGAGAATATCGTCCTGCAGAAGAGAACCTGTTACTCAGAGATTTTTTCAAATTCCGCGGTCCAAAAATTACGATAGATTGCAGAATGTACGCACTCTCAAATGCCATATTCATTTCAGGAAAAAGTTAATTAATGTTATCAGAAAAAATTCCTAAAAATCGCATTTCTTATTAATTGTTGAAACAGAATTCGTGAAAATCGTCTTCCAGAAGAAAAGTTATTATTCGGACATTTTCTAAAATTCCACTTTCAAAAAATACCTATGGATTGCTGAATGTGCGTACTTTTGAATACCATACTCGTTTCGAAAAAAGAATTATTAATTCGGTGAGAACAAAATTCTTAAAAATCGCATTTCTCGCTGATTGCTAAAACAGAATGACGGCAGGAAGGTCAAAGGTCTTGACTTGTTGCGACGATTCCCTCGACCCCTAGATCCCGCCATCATGCCATGAAGACGTACTCGATTGTTACTGTAACTGAAGGGGGGCGAGGAGTAATCGCCGTAATAAACATTTTATGAGAACCAATGGGACCGGTTTATTTGTTTATCCGGACGACGTGCAATTAAATCGAGCATCCGCTCCAACGACCGAATCCGGATCACGGAAGAAGAAGAAGGTAGCAAGCACCGCGAACCACTGAAACAAGTTCTGTGTCGATCTGCAAATTTTTATTGCCGTTCGGACAAGCTTTTTATTAGGGCGTTTCTTAAAACTGGACTGTTGATTTCATGAGTTCATGGGAAACAGGAATTGGTGGTAAAATTTAAATAATTGAGAAACAAAAACTTACGATTAGCAACTTAATAAAGTTGCTAACTAATTTTTGTAATTGTTAGGACCGCGGCAAACGGAAGGTGCCTTTCAACATTTTACTGAAAAATTATTTTCTAATAGCTTTTCTTCGACTGAGTTTACAGCTTTTCCTATAATGATGGTAAAATTAATTTGGTATAACAAGGTATAATAAAAAATAGGTATAACAAATAAAATAAAAATGTGGGGTTAACAATGTCCGTAACATTCTATTTCTATTTTTTTCATACTAACAATTTGATTTCTCACGTATGTACCATTTTAAACAAACTAATAATAAAATATAACGGATTTTTCTTGCACATTATATTTGGGGTCAATCATGATCCCAACACTGTACTTCTATTTTCATTAATGCCAAAAATTTAATTTCTCACGTATTTATGATTTAACAATAACATATAATGCGTCCCGTACCAAAATTTAAATTAATACATCTTGGCACATTTTATTTAGGGTCAGCCATAATCCAGCATGCCAATCATTCTCCAAAAAGATTGGAAATTCATTGCCCCATTGGAAAAAATAATAGAAATTCAGAATCGTACCTGAACGCGCACCG